CCAGTTGGCGTCCAAATCTATCTTCTTTATATATATATTTTAGTATCTACCTTTCCTATTTTCTTAATAATCATCATTTTTATCTTTTACTCAAGTTTCTAAAGAGTGAATTTTATTTTCGTCTCTATTTCTGTTACTTTGGAACGAGAGGTCCCATCTTTATTCTCTGTGACATTTCTCCTTCCCGTTCGATACAAAAGTCGATATAAAGACTTTTATTTCTGAAAATGTCGATTTTCTTCATGACTTCTCTAATAGCAGAATAACCAATTATTGTGTCGTCTCCAGATTTGGAGGTAAGTGTATAATATATTTTATCGATTTCCTAATTCCACCTGTTGTATAAAAATCTTTTTATAATTTTAACTTTAAAAATTCTAAGCTCATTATTTGTGAATGACATGTAAGTAGATACATATTTGTGGATATATTTTTCTTATGTTTTTTATTTAATATAAAAAACTAGCGATAAGAAATATATAGTTTCTTTAATATAGTATGTAAAAGTTTTACGAATATTTTTATAGTTTTAAATATGAATTTTAAATCCATAATATCTTTTGATTTTAATAATAATTAACTTTTGACAAACTACCATTTTTATATAGCAATGTTTCTAAATTATCTAGCTTTTTAATAAATATATCTTGTCATTTTTTTTTTAATTAATATTAGAATATTTCAGTTTTAAAAAAGTAATTACCATTTGCATTAAAGTTATATCCTTACTTTTACTTATTTGCCTATGATAAGTGCATAAATAAGAATTGTTTCTCGACTTGCTTGGGTGAATAATGATAAAATTTTGTTAAATTTGATAGGTCACCTTATTCATCCCCCAAGCAAGGTCTCTCATTTTGGTTTCACCATTTTCTAAAGCAAGGTGTGTTTTTCTTCATTTTAGTCAACCTCCGGGATACATTTCTCAGGTGCGGGTCAAATTCTATTACCATCCAGAAGACCAACCGGCCTGAGAATGGAACCATTATTCCAATAGGAGAGTTGACTCCGAGACAAGGAAATCCAAAACTACCAACATGGCTTGCTAACAACCAGAGCAGAAAAGACCAGGATAAAACTTAGGATTTGGTGACAAAAATTGTTCTTTCATATACCTAATGTAACACTGTAGCAAGAAGTCGAATAATTTTTATTTAAATTTAATACGATACTTAACATTTATTTTTCTGTTTTTTATATCTTAATAAACATGTGTTAATTTAACTGTGTATTGTTTCTTCTTTTTACTTGTTTGTGTGTGTTGCTCCAGAGTAGGCCATATTCACGTCCTGAGTGAGCTAGCCAGGGAGTGTTTCGTATAACGTCTAATGTAGCAATTTTGTAATTGATACATTAGGGGTTATGACGTTAAAAATTGGTCCCAACGGGAAACGATTTGTCACTCCAACGTTGTTAGTGATGTTAGTCAGGTTGTAGCAGCAAACTAAGGTTTGCGGTTACAGGTTGATAACAGCAGCTCAACGTTGGGATGTTACAAATTGAGCCTCGAAGGGTTACAAATTGGCACCCAATGAATATTTGTTGGCACGTCACAGATTGACGTCCAATGAATGTTCGTTGGAACGTTACAAATTAACGTTACAAATTGTAACGTTACAAAGCCACAATGTATTACGACCATGAACTTCCCATCTCTTGACCAAAATAGAAAGAGGAGTTGTATAAGAATCCTTTGCCAGTAAAGAAAGAAAAAAAATAACTTAGTGGATATGTGTGCTTATATTCCTAACCCAGATTATAGGTAAGTTTATTTAAACCTTTGTTTATATAAAAAAAATAATGTAGGTTTAGATAAATATAAGAATATGTGTTCCTTGAAAAATAAATATCATTTTCTTATCAAGTAGTCATATTTGTGTTATTTCCTTAGGTTTCCACACATGTTAAAAGGTTGTATTCAACGCATTTTGATGAATTTCAGCGATGTGACAACCTTGTTCCACTAAACTGATTTGCTTTTGCCATTAAGTTTTTTATATATAAGTTTATGCTATATTATCCTCTCATATTTTCTTGTTTTTCTTATCCAATAGTAAAAAGTACATCATTATCTTAAATTTGATTACAAACGTAAAAAACTTTTCCTGCCACCTATATTCTTGCTGCTACCTTATTCGGGGCGGTCATTCAATTGGTACTTCAATAGATTTTGTATAGGGTAGAAATTCTACCATATTGATTCAAAATATAAAAAAGAAGAAATTTCAGTGTATCTAAGGTATTTAATTTTAAGATTAGGCAGCAATATCATATGTATTTATTTAATCTTTTATTATAATCTAACCTGTCGACAAATATTCTCAGAACAAACTAATTTAATGTGTAAGCTTTTGCATTTCGGGGTATAAAATATTGCGTATCTTACATGAACAATAAAAATATATCAAGTAGATAATACACCATTATGTTTCCCAAACACTCTCATGTTTTTGTCGTGATATTTCAAGATAAGATTGTTTTGTATCTAACAGACTGTATGCATCCGCATTGGGTTGACACGTGCCTAGACTAGACGATCGCTACATGTCGGAGTAATGAAAAAATGGGGAAAATATAACGATTATTTTAAAATTTACATTAGTTATATTTGTCCACGAACACAACACAGGACAGATTTAAAACAATACTTCTAACATTAATGAAAGCCTAAGGGAGTCTAAACAAAATATACGACTCCCTCAATCACCGTATAGTTTGGAAAGCATTAGTAAAAAGCACTGTAATCAACACTAAAACACACATATAAGATATGACGTTTTCTGCTCAGAATTCTTTTTGTATATATGGATTTGCTTAAATTTTTTACAGTAGGTAGAAAATAGCTTAAAGATCAAAATTTACTCTATGTTACATTAACCAGATAGATGCAAGGCACTCTTCCGATCTCATAGACGCCAGAAGCTACCGAGACCCAAACATTGACAGTGACCACTTTCTTGTAATGGCAAAAATCAGAGGAAGAATATCAAACCTAAGGAAAGATAAACACACGAAACAAGACAGAATTAATGTTGATAATCTGCGCATTGAAACCGTTGCGAGAGAGTATAGGAGACAAATGGACGAGGAAATAGAGAGCCTGGAGGTGGGGGAAAATGTAGAGGAACTGTGAACAAAATGTAAAAACATAATAAATGAGAAAGCAACAAAAATATTGGGGAAAACCAAACCAGTTAAAGAAAACGAATGGTTTGACAAGGAGTGTCAAGAAGCAACAGATAACAAAAACAGGGCATACCTAAAGACAGATCAAGCTGGATGCACAAGAAGAGCAAAGGACGAATACCGGACCCTAAGAAGAGAAGAAAAACGATTACATAGAAGAAAAAAAAGACAATTTGAGCAAAAGCAGTTGGAAAGCACAGAATGGCTAAGAAATCAAAATGAAACTCGAAAGTTCTACAGAAATCTAAACAAAATGCGCAAAGAGTTTAAGCCAAGAATAAGGAGCTGTAAGAATGTAGAAGAAAACATCCTAAATGATACGGCCTCAATCCTAAACAGATGGGTTGAATTTTTCGATGCAAAATTTAATGGCCATCATATCGAAGAAGCAGATAACACCCTAGCAAATCGAAATAATTGGAATCCTTTCAACCCAAACGAAAGACCACCTACCATCGAAGGCGTTGCCCAAGCCATTAAAAAGCTTAAAAATAATAAATCACCAGGAGTTGATCAAATTTGCAGTGAGCTCTACAAGAATGGTGGCGATGCCCTACTACAGACACTGCATAAGCTTTTACTTCTTGTTTGGCATAATGAGACCATGTCTTGTGAATTGTCTCAAGGCGTGATATGCCCGTTACATAAAAAAGGTGACCAGCTCCAGTGTGACAACTATAGAGGTATAACCCTGTTAACAACTGCTTACAAAATACTAGCAAATATTCTCTACGAAAGGCTGCAAGTTTACACAGTGGGCATAGTTGGTAAATATCAAGCTGGATTCACTCCAGAAAAATCAACAATTGACCAGATTCATTCAATAAGACAGATTCTCGAGAAAACATTAGAATTCAATATTGAAACCCATCACCTATTCGTCGACTTCAAGGCCGCATACGACAGTGTCAAGAGAACAGTGCTATACCAATCAATGCATGAGTTTGGTATACCAGAGAAACTTATCCGACTAACGAGAATGACAATGTCTAACTTAGAAGCCACTGTTAGAATACAGGGAGAGAGTTCTAGATCCTTTGAGATAAAGGATGGACTCAGACAAGGGGATGCTCTGGCTTGCCTCCTATTTAATATTGCCTTAGAAAAGGCAGTCCGAGATACACGAATTAGGGATGGCGAAATTTACACAATAGTAAAAAGTACTATGTTTAGTATATGCTTGGTGTATTCTTTACTATCTAGATTTACGTGTATTTCAAGTTCTTGTATAATAAAATTAGATTACATCGAGTTTTTAGTATTATCTACAGCCTTTACAAATTCTACATTTGCCACATAATTTTTGCATTAATTTAATAGACTCTTTTCTATCTAACACAACAACCCAAATTTAAATGGTAGCAACCTGCTGATCAATTTCTCCAGTTATTATGAAGATTTCGTTAGCAATTTTTATGTCGATGAGAGCTTTCTTAATACTTTTTTCTTGATAAAGTCTTTACTGGCGAACCTCTGAAGATTTTTACTGCTTGCAGATCTATGTTCTAATTAGCACGAAGTTGAGGGATTTCTATTCTTCAAACGATATGTGATCTGAAAGAACTGTGGTACCCCATTAACGTATTGCAAAATTCGGTGACTAGGTACTATTATTATCGTTAATATTATTATCCCATTTATACTAGCATGAAAGGAAGCTGTATTAAATCGAACAAAACTGTATTTTTATATCAGCATTTTTAAAATAATAATTAAAAATTAGCAGCCTTTTTAAAATACATAAAAGAAAACTTTTGTCTTGAACTACTTTTCATAAATAATAAAAATAAATATAATAAAATTTTACAACTTACATTTCTGTATTCTCCTTGTTACATTGGCACATCTTCTGGCAGCCTGGACCAAAGTACCCATCAGGGCAAATCCTCTTATCACAACGTTTCCCAGTCCATCCCTTAGAACACATGCAAGTGCCGTCCCTATTGGAGCATTTGGCACCATTCTGGCAAGAACACTTTTCAGCACAGTTGATACCAAAGGTACCTTCCGGACAAACATCTAGACACTGAAAACATTCAAAGCAATCTATTTATTCAAATAATAACAAAAATTAAGTTAGTTTATAATATTATTAAATTGCCGTTGGGAAACGTTGGGTACAGGGGTAGACAGTCAAGGGTTGTTGAAAGAAGAAGAAAAAAGGATGAACAATTAGGGCATATGAGCAATTTAAAAAAGATTAACATCAACTATGAGATAAATTAAAATTTATAAATCAATGTTACAGTTACAGTTAAGTTGATACAGCGGGAAAAGACAAAAAGTCAAAAATATTGACAGAATAACAAGGAAAAGATATGGATGAGGGCTAGTATAACTAAAAAAGGATACATGAGTGGTGAAAGAACATTAACTTTCTATTATTTTTTTTTATTGTTATTTTTTTCTTATCAAAGAAATATCAGTTTATAGTTTAAGAATCAATTTTTTCTTCTACTTTGAAATTTTTTTACATTTGCTGATATTTCTTTTACCATATCAACTTCTACATGATTTTAACAATTTTTAGATAAGATTACAGTCAGATACGTTTTACGTTCGACTTAAAGCAAGCAAAAAAAGTTGAACAATACCTAATCACTTTAATTCCTCTGTTCTAGAAATAACAAATTTTTCAATTGTCTGTAGATACAAAGATAAACACATATTTCCACTTTTGATTGATTGTTACATATTTTAATGTATATTTATAGATTTCTTAATCGACAGATATGAGAGACCCACATATAAACAAAAACTTGCAAAATATCATCTTTCTGTGAAGTACATAATCTTTTATTATTGTAAACAACAGTTTTATGTGTCAAAATTAATAAATTAATATAAATCATTAGTATAATAGAAACATTCGTAGAAATATTCGTTAGTTGTATGTAACGACAATAAGATGTGATTGAAATAGTATATTACATAACGAGAGTTGTAAGAAGCTTATTACATGCGAGTAAAAAAGTTGCGCGCGAGCCGCGTAGCGGCGAGCGCAGTAATTTTACAAGCATGTAATAAGCTTACAACTCAAGTTGTGTACTATACTTTTTCTACGATTATTTTCGTTTATAAAAATAAAAATTAAATCACCATTATATTTACACTGACAGATTAATAATTTTTAATCTGTCAAAATAACGTCTGTTAATTCGTTTCCATGGTAACTCTACCAACTGACTTACGAGGCTTATGTGATATTACACATTTTTATGAAACTGAAGCGTAATTTTTTTTATTACGTGCTAGTCATTACGTGTCAGTATCTGTTATGATGCATTTACTTAGAATCCACATAGTAGGTAATATACAATTTACTAGTAAGAGAGTAGAAAAAAATTAATATCACTCACCCTATCTCCTGTAAAACCGGGCTGACACTCGCAGGTACCATTAATGTGGTGACAGGAGGCGCCGTTATAACAATCACACTGCTCCCTACATTCTTCACCCCAGAAACCGAAAGGACATCTGTTCGCACATACAGATCCCGTCCAACCATTCGTACAGAAACAGTCTCCTGTTTCTGGATCACATGTTCCGCCGTTTTGGCATCTACAGTCGGATTTGCATTCAGACCCGTGTTTTCCAATCGGGCATAAGTCATCACACCTGAAAGAGAAGGGATAAAATTAGTACTTATCTAATACATCAACAAATTATAAAATGTGAATGCGTAAAAGTAAACATCTTTTTATAAGTAATAATCTCAATTTTTCGACTTTTGCTGAAGTTTTGTAACTATTTAAACAATTTTCCTAATATAATAAATTTAAAGAATTGTTTAATTAATATTACATAGAAATTTTAAGCCCATTTTCCATAAAAGTAACTACAACGTAACACCGTTTGTTAGAGACACTCTTAACAGTAAAGACGAGCTGGTTAAACCAGCTTTTCGAAGGACCAGCAGTTTAAATAGACATAAAAAATAATAAAAAAAATATTATTGGTATAAATTTTCTAAAAATTCTCAATGTTTTTCTATTATCTACATAGAGCTATCAGCGAAAACTTTTACAAACGTACGTAATTAACGGCAAATTTAATTTTATTCGTAAACAAATAATATTTTTTCCGCTAATGCAACATGCAACTATTCTTCTTTTAAGTGCATCATCCTATAGCCAAGACTTTTTTTATTTTGTGCCACATGGAAAAACTGTTCAGTACTTATTGTGCCTGTTCATTTTCTAATGTTTCGGAATCATAATTCTCTCAATGTGTGCTTCAGATACGCTATTTGTCTTCACTTCATTGTGTTCAATAATTTTCATTTAGTGCTTACCGTTTTGATAGAATCTGTGTTATTTACATGTTCCACCAATGAAACGAGAAGCAAATCAAACAGGGATATAAAAGAGGCAGAACCTTTGACAAAACAGGAACTTCGACAAATCATAGATAGGCAAACATGCTTGGGACAATGAACGCAGAGTACAATGGAAAGATGCATCAATAATCATGAAAGAAATATATATGAAAAAAAGAAAAATCAAAGAAGCTGCCGTCATCCTACTCAATGAAGAAAAATGTGTAAAAAGGTCAACAAGAAGAATATTTCAACAATAGCTGATTGAAACTCTGAGACACATCGCCTTCAATCGTACACAATGCATATGCTACACACAATACACCAACTCTCACAAACACACAAACGCTTAAAGCGCATAAAAAATAATGCAGAATGCAGAATAATCAGAAGTTGAAGTTCCATTAGGTAAAAAATCCACCCTTATATCTTTTCAACCAAAACATGGCTGTTGCCTAGAACAATGCAACTAAGTAAGTCATAACCTCACAACAACTTTGGCGGTTATGCACTTTTTTGACAAAATTGCATAAATTTCTATAAGAAATTTATAAGTGTTGTTACATCTCTGGTAGTAAAATAATTTTTACCTTCAGAAGATGTTTTTACCCAGCGAAAATTTATACCCAGGAAATCCCGGGTACCAAACATTCAAAAGGTGGTTTTACCTAATAGAAATTTCGAAGTTGTCCCCCACCAACCCCCTGGTAGGCATTTCAATCATAATTTGAATGTAGTTAGTAAGAAGTTGGAATCCACCCAGGGTGGACGCTGCGTTTATTAGTTAGTATCAACCTAGAAACCAACCAGTTTGGACGCTTCCGTTTTTAGTTTTTTAGTTTTATTATCATTAATTAAGTTTATTAACAGTAAAGAAAATCAGTGCTATATTGTTTTGGGCTTCGCGTACTTGTATGAATCGGAGATTTAAATATAAGAATTTGTTTAGGATTAAACTTGAGAGGTCGCTGGTTAAATTATATCAGATAAATAATTATAACGAAAAATGCAATAGTGGTTGGTACACAAAATTGGTGAAAATAGCAACTATAAATTGTAAATAAGTTATGAAATCAACTAGTTTACTCATTGTCAATGTTTTGTACGTGAGCCTTCTAAAAATTGCAAGGCAAACAGACGTTGATAAAAGATGTTAAAAGGAACATGGGGAATCTAAAATTTGCATTCCACGACATGTCTTTTACAACTAAGCAGAAATCCTTAGCGAATTGTGCTTCTTGTAATCACACAGAGTAAATCCGAATAAAATGAAAAAAGGCAGCAAATATTTGATTTCGCGCAAACAAATCCTATGAATATCATCTCTACGATTACTTAAATGATATTACACTCTCTCAGTCAGATAGAAAGAAAAAGGAAATCATAAATTGCTTTTAAGCTTGCATTTATCTATTCTTCGTGTGAACCAGACCGTACAGCAGTGATCTGTCGTCAGAGTAGCATCATTTCGATGTAGAAAATTTGTAAAAATGTCTATGAATTATCCAAATTACGTGGGATTTAAGATTTCAGGAACAATAATTAAACTTTCTCTAATTTATGTGAGTAAGTGACATTTAGAAATTCGCCAGAAATACTTTTATATAATATTAAAATTGGGTAAGCTGTATGAACTATCATGTTGCCGTATCACGCTAGAGGCAGAACATTTCAGTACAATTTGGATTAGTAAATTTATTATAATTATGTGAAAAACTCAAAAAAGAAAATGTGTGTACAGGATTATTAGCCTGCATGAAATATTTGGTTATGTAGTTTTTACATATCTAAAATACGTTACATACCTAGACTGTGCGTGTTACAATGCTTCAAATATTTTTCATATGAACGATTTAATAATATGTATCATAGATAAAAAGTATTTTACGCAAGAGTTACAAAATTATGACCACACGAAAGTTTAGTCCAATGAGTGTTTTATACCTTTTATAAGAAAAACCATGTAAAAATACTGTTAGAACTTTAAGGAGATACCTTACGACCTTATACATTATAACACCGATGTATTTTACAATAATATATAAGAAATCAATGGCAAAGTAATTTAAAGTGGGGCGGAGTTCTGGGGAATTGGCTGTATGCCATAATTGTTAAAAAACTTTTACATTGAAGTAAAAACTTGTGTTGTAAAAGTTATATATTTAAATACAAATAAATAAACAAATAAAAATGGATTACAATAGTTGATTTTTGTTCAGAACGAATGTTTTAGGTCTTATCAGACCATCTTCGTTGCTTAGTATTTGCTTTATAAGCTCATCACCAACTGTCCACCCGATGCACCGTTATACAACTGACGCAATACTTCTAATACTTTTCCTTTAGGTACAATCAACTAAAGCTTAGATTCTGTACCATCATCGCTCTCAAAGGTTCTATCAACAGAAAGAGCATCCGCATTTGAATCAACTCTTCCAACCCTGTGTTCTATTTGTTCTACTTTTCCGGTTGCTGTATTATTTTCTTAGTTACCAACATTCCTAGGCTCGCTTCTCTTCGACATCGTGTTACGAACTACTTTTCGTATGATTTCCTTCAGACGATTATCGCTTTGTTCGTCGCCTTCTTCATAGGTTCGTACTCGATAGCTCCGTGAAGCTTGACTGACTTTCGTGTTCCATCTTCATCTCTTCATCTAAAACTTTCGGTCTTGCTAGTCGTAAAGCTTTCTATAGTTTACTGTCTTTCAACCCATTTACAAAGGTATCTACAGCAATTTCTTCGACTATGTTGTCTGGTGCCTCTGTATAAGACAACCGCACTATACGAGCAACACCTGCTTCAAATTCTTGCACGTGTTTACTTGCTCGTTGAATTCTACTTCTTAGTTGAGCTTTGTAGACTTGTTGTAGATCGGTATCTCCGTAGCGTTTGTCTAGTCGAGTGAACATTTTTCTTGACCCTTAAGAATCGATCTTAGGATATCCACAGCATCATCTAGTAAAGTAGCAGTCAAGGAAACAGCCTTTTTTTTCTGTCAAATGAGTGGCTGTCGCAATAGCTTCAAATTGTCTACGGTATATGAACCAAGCCATCTAACGGTGCCAACTTAAATCTCATATGATGTATCGTTTCGACTCTCGGTGATTCTTCTTTCACCACAGGATCTAAAACTACTGCATTAACTAGTATTAGCACTTTCGTATTGGTTATCATGCTCTCTAACTATTTGATCTTCTCTTCTACCAACGAACGTCCCAGAAACTTCTGCACATTTCTCATTGTTTTGTATATATACTTCTTTAATTATTTGGGAAGTCTCGTCGAATCTTCTAGAAACATTTTCGAATGTCTCGCCGAATCTTTTGGAAACATTTTCAGAAGTCTCTTCAATCATTTGAGGCTTTCTTCAATCAGCTTCGAATTTTCCATCAATTATTTTTATTAAAACTTCTTCATCAACACACCATGACACTACCGTAACATGTTTAAGTAAAACGGGCGGTTCTAATTTTTATAAACTATTTATTTAAAGTTTATAGTACGACATTCTCTTATCACCTAACTAAAACTAATAACAGCCCTTCTTATATACGGGAATACTAACGCTAGAATCATCTGGAGTAGTCCACCTCTATTATCGCTTGTATGAACGCCTCGCTTTGTACCTAGGGCCAGTGGTGGCCGGTCAGGGTCGGCAGTGCCGACCCACACCTTTATAGATATTACAGATTTTTTTAATATTTAATTTAATCAGTATTTCAATAAATAATTGTGGCAAGTAATCAGTTGATGTCATTTGTTTTTGTGAAATAAAAAAATATCCGTGAGATAATAAAGACTAAATTTTATTCATGGTTTTTAAAGGAATTCGACCAATTCGACCAGACTAAATTTTATTAAGTTATGATCCGATATCGGAGACATCCATCCGCCTGTGAATTCTTAAAAAGGCACGTTTTGTTTTTTCGGCAAGCCGATCCCAAGCATGACGATTTACTTATAAAAATCAACGGAATATTAGTTGATTTGATTGAGCAACCAAATATACATTTCTTTCCATATGAACTTAATTACCAAGTACGGCGAATTTAAATTTTCCGATGTTTCATTTGGATTGGTGATTGGTCGCGAACTGTACATTGCGAGCGCGGGATGAAATGGTATTTCAAATAAGAACGTAAGTAGTAAAGTGAAGTGATATTCAGTGCATGAACTAGCCTTTATTTTTGTGATTTATTTTTATTTTATAAAGTAATACTGTGATACGTTACGTCTGCCGTAAATAGTTAAAGGTTAAAGGGTTTTTTGACACATTGGAAGTTTTTTTTAATTAAGG